AGACGAAACGCATTGTCAAATTACCCCATACACCACTCAACCGCCAATATTTGTGGACCATCATTACTATGTCTGTTGTTAGTCCTATAAAACTGAATATTATCGAGTCTGGGATTTAAATATAAGAAACATTATACAGTCGACTCTCGGTAACTCAAAGTTGAAGGGAAAAAATAAAAATTCGACTTACTAAAAATTTCGAGTCATCAAAAACTTTTAGAAAGTATGTGTTTATTTTTAAATAATTTAATTTTTACATTAAAGAAATAAAAAATATATTTTCTTGCATTCCTACTTACATTTTATTATTTTTAAAGAATTGGTGTAAAGTTAATTGTTTTTGTTTATTTAATAAATTGTTCAAAATTCTATTTTCTAAAATATCTAGTGGTTTAAATAAATAATTTCGGTAAAATATTTTAAAATTATTTATTGTGCCTTGCTCTAATGGTTATAATACAAACGTAGTATTAGGATATAAAAAGTACACTTAAATAGCATTAAAAGTTGAAGTTAAATTGTTTGCAGTACAATTATGAATAATAAGTAAGATTTTCCTTTACTCAGTGACTATTTTTTTTTATTTAATTTCATTAACCACAAATTAAAAATTTCAGATGTCACCTAGGAATTTTTGTTCACATAATAATCTAATGGTAATGATTTTACTTGTTTAAAACATCTTTGCTTTTTTGACTTATCGATCAAAAGTGGTCTTAATTTTTCTGTGCCCGACATATTTGCCCCTAACAAAAGTGTTACTTTTTCTTTGCTATGTTTTCCATTTGAACAAGATTAGCCTTTCAATATGAATGTTTTTTCAGGTAAATATTTGAAAAATAATTAGTCATAAGAAAAATAATCGCCTTGATAAATAATTTTTAGTACTGAATTTGGATAAGAAAATTTGAGATTTCGAAAACTTGTCAAATTAATTTTCGAGTTAACAAGATTATTTAAACATCAAATTTACTGTTATTTGAAGGGGAGTTTTAAGACATTCGAGACATTGAGAATTTCGAATTATCAAGGTTCGAGTTACCGAGAGTCGACTGTACTAATAAGTTATAGTAAGATGAATATAGTGATGAAACTTTGGTTTCTACCAATTTACTCAAAGCGACTAAAAATTGATATGGGAAGGGTAGTTCACAAAATCTAAAGCTACCAAAAAAATGGAACTATCAAAAAAAAATATTTCGAAAGTATATAAACCTAAATTCAGATATTTAAAGGATTCCAATTAAGAAAAATACCCGGTCAAATTTGAATTCATTACTCATAAACGGAAATATTGGATCATCATAACGCATGGCGAAAAACAAATATCTAGTTCTTAATACGTGTCTGGTGGATGCAGTCATTGCCATAATAGCTATGGCGTAAAAAGATTTTTAGTTATATAGAAACTTTGTCGATTTTAGTTAAAACTATATGCTTAATTTCAGTAAAAAAAAATAGCCCTATATAGTTCAACAACAAATACCTAAAAGAACGGTTAATTATACTAAAAAACATTTTGGACGAGTGGAAAAGGAATCACCGACAAAATATCGCAACTAAAATATCGCGAAACCATTATATGGCATGGAATAAATATCGCCAACATGAAATATAGCAGTAGTTTAATTTTAAATAAATAATATATTTTAAGCATATAATATTGTTATATAGTAGAATTGATATAAGTATTAAAAAAAAAATTAATATATGTTATTCATTGAAATCAGGCATGGCACTAGAATTTTTGTCCGAGGGAGCAAAGTGGAACAAATATTTTTTATACATGGGCTAAAGTTTTTTCAACATATACTTAGGTTAATTAAATAAAGTATAAATATTTTCGTATCATATAACATAATATAGCTATTCGCCATATACTACACAAGTTTTTATATTATATGCTCTAAAAGTCTAAACAGATAATATGTAAACAATTTTGAATAGTTAAAAATGTTTAATCAAAGACCTTCAACAACTATTATTCATAATGATTAATGATGTCCAAAAATAATAATTTCTATATGACTTTAATATTACATACCTTTATTAATGAATAATTATTTTTCTTTTACTTACCAACATATCATAAGTATAAATGAAAGTAACTGTGTTTAGTAATGAACAGATGACTTTGTTTGAATCATCTTTAATGCAATTATTTGGGATAATTTTGTTTGTTTATTTTCATCCAGTAATTAGTACTCAATAAAGGTAATAATAAATAGATGAAAAATTCTTTTCTTATTTTACAAAGCTCAAAACATATTTTATTGAAATTGTAGTAAATTTTTCCCTTATTAGATAAATAATAAATTTAATTTATTCCTCAATTTTTTAGTACTAACATATGATAAATAAGCTAAATATTGATATTTTACACAATACCTGTTTATGCAACATACAGTAAATAATTGAAAATCTTATATTATAATTAAACAAAAATATATAAAATTACACCAATATCAGTAGGAAAATTTAAAACATAAAACTTCGAAAATACGAAAGTATTTCCATAAATTAAAAATGTTTAAAAAGCATATTTCATAAATTTTTGATATAGCTCTTTTAAAAATAATGTTTTATGACTTTATTATGTCGTACATATTTTTCAGTGGGGGGGGGCTGGTGAGGGGGCTGAACTGTTTTCTGAAGGGGAAAGAGCCCCACCTTGCTCCCCCTGGCGCCGTGCCTGATTGAAATACCTTGAAGATAATCTTCAATTTCTCAAAAAAAAAAGTAAAAGATGAATATAATTAGATGAGATAAAGTTAAATGCAATATACGGACGCGATAATATTGTACGGCGGTATTATTTCTTTACGATATATTGGTTTCGCAATATTTTGGTCACGCAATATTTTACCGGCGATATTTTGTCGGGGTACCGTTGAAAAGCATTATCAGATTATTATTGTACAAATAAGCTCAAACCAATTGCTAACATGACCATTATTCTTCGCTTTACTGACAATAGATTCAAAGATACACAAGAAATTCTAATTAATTATATTTCATTACAAACCTATGATTGTTGACATTTTGGTGGATCAATTTCATCAACTAAAATACTAATATATGATATAATAAATGATATAATAATATCTGTGTAACAGATATGTATCAGGAAGATCGTAAGTTTAGTCTTACAGAAATTCCATCAGAGATCAAGATTAATAATTTTAAGTAAGTATACATACGAGTAATTCATATTATGTGTAACAGTTAGCCTACAAACCTACAACACATCCCACTAATCTAATTTTTTTAATTTTTTTTATATAGCTTCATATTTTTTTGGTTTGGTTGCGTATTATTCAGATCACTATATTTCTCACATCAAAAGATAAATCAACGTTTGGGAAACACACAATGATTTGCAAAAAAAAAAAAAATCAAAGGATTTCACTCAGATACTATGCTAATAAGGCCTCATTTAGTGTGCATATAAAATTTATTTTAAAGATTATTACAAAGATTTTTGATTTTCTCATTTAGTTCTAATATTTTATTATTTCTTTTTTACATTTCATGTAATTATTTTTTAATACAACGGTTCACATTTAAATAAATGAAATTTGAGAACATGACAAAACACCATGCTAATATCAAACTCAAGTTAGGTTAAATTTATAGTTATAGTTAAATTTATGATAAACCATAAGTAAGTATTTACATATAGTTTTTTTTGTATGAAATCTACATATTATTTAGCAATTACAAGAGTTTTGAACTTTCATAGTGCTGTAATTTTGGAGAATTTCGTAATTGCTATAGTAAGTTAATAAAATGTTAGTCCCTTGAAATTAAAGTTGAGTTTTCTCGGAAATAGTGTGGTCACAAATCGTTTGATTTAGGTTATAATTAGTTACTAAAAGGTACTTAATTTGGGGATAGGTCCATTTTCGATTGGACATAGTCGGGGGCCTACTTAAAATACATCATTGTCGTAAAAATACGCAAATACTGAGAAAAATTACAGCCTTGTTAAACGGGTAAAATTACAAAATCCAAAAGTAGTTAACATATTACAGGATACGTACTAGTTATGATGATAATAGAATATTCGAAATAGACAAAACATTTAAAAAATGTATTTAGAAAAACTAACCAGTATTATTGCAGACAGTGAGCAGAATATAAATTACCATAATAAAATGTTAATTGGGAGAATAAATGTGCAAATGGCATAAAGTAATGTAAGATGACATCGATATTATATTATTGCATTACATATCAAGAGGTGTTGTGTTATGAAAAAAATATTTTTTTTTCAATATCACTTATATTTATGAGATGACATTATTGTAAAATTTAAATGTTCCCGGTTAAATGACGAACATATCAATATAAACAAATTAGTTGAAAATATTCAACCTAAAGGATTATGTTAAATATTTTCACACGTCATTACACTCCTATAAATGCATTGCTTCCTTTTTTTATTTAAAACATTATTTTTACAATTTTGTTCTAAAATAACTTAATGATTTTTTTTAAAAAAAAGAAAACCATGAGGACCACTGAATACAAATATTCAAATCGTAATTTAACATTCAATTAAACATTGATAATTTTCCTAGTAGTTTATAAATAAATTGTATTTTTAATGCAGTGAAAAGTATGGCTTACGTGTGTAAAAAGATTGCCAATCTCAGTGATTGTTTTCATGATGTTTTAAAATAATATCTGCCTTGCTTGAAAATAAAAATGTCTCGACAATCTACTGCAACTCGAAATTACGAAATAAAGACAATCGGATCGCGCGTGTGTCAACCGATATTATGAATGTCATATAATATTGTATTATTTTTATTTTTACTTTTTTTTTTCGCAGCTATGGCTTTTTTAAACATTTTTTATAAAGTGTTCGTCTGGGTTTTCAATTCATTAAACGTGAACCCATGTGATCGCCAGGGCTCGTCGGGTATATGCATTGTAGGAATATGACGGTACGACCGTCTTGGTGGAACAAAACTAAAGAAATAATTGTAACTCACCATTAATCCCGGTTGAAGCAGCGGTGAAGCCGAAGACCAGGGCGGCGACCAGCGTCAAATGCAGAATCATGTCGACGCGCGTGGATATAACGGATGGCGGTAAAGCTACAGGTATATATGCAATAACAATAGAAAAATTATATTAGTACACGTACGCGCAAGGGGTCACGATTACGATCACGTAGTGGCGTCATTTCAAATTTAATTTGCGTATTCATACGTATGCTACAGACCCCGTGTGGCATTGTCAACGCATCAAACGTTTAACGATCCACACGGTTTCCAAAGAATCTATAAAACCATTTTATATTAATAGTACTTTTAATAAATAAAACGTCGAACAAACAAATATTCACGGATAATAATTAGAATAAACACATATTTTTAAAAGCCCCATGTTCGGGCCGAACAATAATTAAGAAGCAGGCGAAATCACCGTGATTTCGAGTCATAAATGTAAACGATGCTCTGCCCAAGTGATACCACTACGGTCGTAAAATCGTGGGGAAGGTGATAAGCAAAAAACAACAACAACAATAATAATAATAATAATAATAATAAAAAATATTTATAAACATAATGATGATTACTGTTGACGCGAACGAGTAGGTAACAACGGGTGCTTTTCGTCTGGCGTGTGGAGTCCTGTTCTGTAACGCTCGTGGCGAGAGTTGCCGACGAACGGTGTCTGCGATGTCGGAGCGCGGGACTTTTTGAGGGGCGGTTGCTCGTGAGGCGCAAGCGGCCTATATCGGCGGCGTGCGGTCAGGAGTAGTACGCGCGAGAAACGATAGGGGTAGACGACGGCGGTTGCAACTGTAATATTATAATGGGACGTGTTACACGTATGCAATATGTGGTAATATTGTTACGATGTGTATGCAATGCGATGGCGTTGATATTTTCTTTTTAAGTCTGGGCACGCGTGAACGGCACTGGCAAACGGCGCATTCTGAGTCGACGGGCATCGCGATCGCGTCCATATATACCGCGGGTTGGCGAGAGCGCGCGCGCGCGCGTGTACGAACGCAAATGCGTGCGTGTTGGTGTACGTGTGTGTATCGCGGCAATAGGTGCCCTAGCGGAACTACAAGGAAGTGCAATGACGCTAGGGGGTGGCAACCGCGGTTTTTGTTTACCCCGCGACTGCAACACCGGTTGTACAATGCGGCCGAGACGAGGGACGATTATTGTTATTATCATTACCACCGTCAATGTCGTCACGAAATCCGTCGACTACCGCACTCGCGACCCAACTCCGTCTTCCATTGATAACGTTTCTCGCAAACGGCTTGTTTAAAGTGCTGTCCAAGTGTATGTGTTCAACGAGTATATTCGAATAAAGCTCGTCCGACCGTATGTTCGACTTTTGGTTCATTTATTTTTTTTTTCATTTGTTTCTAACCGAGGCGTCTTCCGGATGTTTTAAAGCAAAAAGTAATGTGTTTTCGGATGTTTTTTTTACCGTTTTATCGGTTATAATTTGGATGCTTTGGTTCTGAATTTTCTTATATTATTTAATCGGTTTGTTGGACGACTTTAGAATATCAAGTTTCATAATTTTAGGACAATTTAAACATTTCTTCATGGATACATAAGATTTTTGTTGAATTGTGAATTATGTGATCGTTTATAAACCTGCAGTTACTACTTGTTATTTTTCTTAATATATTCATCTGGGTAGTTACAAGTTTTCTTTATCGTGTTATGGATAAGTTAATTACTACATGAACTTTTAAAATGACAAAAAAGGATATTATACACATTATCTACAATTTCGATGGTTCCATTTAGTTTAAACATTTTATTGTATATAAAATATTTAAATATAAACTTTTAACAAAAAAATAGTATCGCAATATGACCAGCACAGTGTGCGTACTTTACAACTGGCTGTAAGCGTTTATACACGTAGAAACGAGCCAATACGCTAATTTTTCTTTGGACTACTTCCATTTTTACCCCTATCGATATTTCGTGTAACTAATATTTGTTTATATCAGTGCTTCTCGATCTAGGAGCCACGGACCCCTAGGGAGCCGTGGTTATATAACTGAAGAGCCGTGAAATATTTATTTTATTTAAAATTTTTGAAACCGAATTTAATGAAAAAGAACTCACTACATTTTGGTTAAGACGACAGCAAGAGTATCCTGTAATCTCGAAAGCGGCTTTACTTATATTAATACCTCTCACATCAACATATCTTTGTGGAACTGTATTTTCACAATTTAAAATTATATTAAACAAACATAGATCATGCATTTCACAAAAGTCCTTAAATGCAAAATTGCGTATTTTAGTTCCAAATATCACACCTGACATAATTATGTTATGCGTGAAATATGCTTTATTATTATTATTATTATTATTAACCTAGCCTTTGTTTGAAACTAAATCAACATTATTACTGAATATTCTTGTACTGCTTTATAGTTATTACCAATTATTTTTTGTTTATTTATGTTTCAAGTCTTATACAATTATAGGATTACATTTAAAAAATATATCAAATAATATTTATTTTCTTTACATTTTAATAATTTATTTGTGTGAAATAGTGGATGTAAATTTAGTACATTATTAACAATAAATAATTAATGATTTTGATTGAGGGGGGCTTTGACAGTTTTACATAAAATTTAAGAAGCCCTACAACAAAAAAGGTTGAGAAGCACTGGTTTATGTGTGTGTGTGTGTGTGTGTGTGTGTGTGTGTGTGTGTGTGTGTGTGTGTGTGTGTGTGTGTGTGTGTGTGTGTGTGAGTATGTTTGTGTTGTATTGTGTATAATCAGGGTAAGATTTAGAGAAAAGGAGACTCTTGGACCTATATCTTATAACTTTTGATCCAGGTCTTTGTATATCCATATTTCATAATAATACTCACCGATCGAGACTCGTGTTTTTTTTAATATTATTTTAAGTTTCCACGTAACCGTTGTTTATTTTATACATTTGATACACAGCCTAATTTATTTGAAAACACTGTTTGACAAATCAAATATTGTATGCAATACTTATAGTTGCTAAAAAATTAATTATGAAATTATATTATTGATTGAATATAGATGTATTACTGTTTAATTTTAGATTTAAAGACATTTGATCAATGAAATGACTAATAAGTTTTCCGTAAAAATTTTAGTTTCATTAAAATATGAGTGAAAGAGCAAAAAATTTGCATTCCTTTTTTATAGTATTTCAATCTATTGCGATGAAAATAATTTTAAAAATTAATAAAAATCCTATTTTCTAGATTTAGTTTATTTACGTTTAATATATTGGTTTTATATTTTTTATATTCTTTTGAGTTGTATTCTGTTATTTTCAGGATGCAAACAAACTTTGTTAGTAAATCAATTTTCCAAAACTATTAAATTCCATAGACGATATTTATTTAGATTTATTTTGCATTACGAGTGTTTAGCAGATTGTGACATGAATCGTTTGAAGTTTATAAATATTAATACGCATATTTGCTTAACGACAGGTAACATTTTGCACATAAATTGCTAAAGCATTCAACTCGAAATCTAATTATTATTTAGAGTTTTTGAATCCAAATCCTGGTGTCGGAAGCGATGCGTTTTCGACCCAAGCCTATCAAATGAAAAATGTTATCGTAATTGTATTACCCTATTCGTGCATTAACCCGGGCATTGGTATTAGATTAACCAAAAACTTTAAAAAGAACCCAAAAACCTTCCAGTTCTACTTAAAACCGATGTTGCTATCTCATCTGGACAGTCTGCCATCCTGCAACAGTTGATATGCAACGCCATATATTATGTATTATACGAATTTCCTTACGATATTCTCATCGTCACGTTCCATATCAAGCACTTATCACGAACGTCACCTTTAACTCTAATTTAATATTATTGTACGGCTGTACCTACACACATAAAGCGTGCCTACATATATGTGTATATATTTTACATTAAATTACACCCTTTGATACTGCACCTACACGAATCTATTATTATTCGCGTGTTTGCCAACCATATCGAAAGCCAGACTTTGCGCAATAAATTATCGTGATAAAATTTAACGTCTGTATAATATAGGTAATCGTTTCTGCTGTGTGGTAAGCAATGAATACAAACGATTATTATTCTCGAACGCCTTTAGAGATCTTGTCCCGTTTTAAACGCCTTTTCACGTTATGATAACACCTCCTTATGATATATATATATATATATATATTATAATTTCAATTAACATTATGATATGAATATTATTAAAATGATGATTTTTAAATTTTAAATTTCGTAGTCCACACTAATATCGTGATTCTGAGTTCGTATATTGTTAATGATTTTTCCGACGTCTCGAACTTTTAATGCGAGTTTTTCACTACAAGTACCGTGATTTCGGTAATCAATAGAATTATAGATAACCATCATAGTTTTTACTTTTAGAGTAGAGAAAAAAAACGTATTTATTACTCTTTCAAAAATACCACCTACGTGTTCGATGAACATTCGGATCGACTTAGATGTAGTTAGTGCTAATCAATAATATCACTCTCAGTGGTAGATACTTTTACAAAGTTTTTCCACATTTGATAGCACACGTTTTTATAGTATATGTTTACGTACCACGGTAGTATTCCGTACGAGGAATATTTTACTGCGCATCCAATAATCTCAATAGTTAATATCTGTAGTATGTATAAAAACGTGTAATTTATTTTCCAAGTTTATCGTTTGTATTTACGGTTTGTTTTATAGTTTGTATTTACGATATGTGGATTTTTTCGAATATTAGATGAAAATTATATTGCGAGCAAAAACCACGTTCAACGAATAACGTAGGAAATTCAAAACCACCTGCCTACATACGCACCTTATAACGACGTATTATCAGATACAAATTTTTTCTTACAATACTTTTTTATGTTTGAAAACATAAAAAAATATCGGTAGTAATCATTTCTTTAACATTGACATATTTTCAGCGCGAATTTGACGAAAGACAGGCTTGTAAATTTAGGTGTGAAATAATAACATGTCCTGGTAAAATACCTATTGTTTAAGAAAAATTAAATGCGCCTCAGTCCTTAAACACACATATATCGCAGCCATATGGATATTATCATTAATGTGTATTGCAGTAGGTAAGTGAAGTTCCCCTCCCCTCACTTGGTTCTGTCGGTTTTAAATAAACTATAAGTAATTGAAAATTAGTTGCAAATAATTGTACATACAATTTTGGAATGTTTAAATCCCCAGGGAACTTGGAAAATCAAAATCAAATTATCATAATATATTATACTATTATAAAAAATTTGTAATTAACGGTTAAATTATTGAACAAGAATCGTTTAAAAATTTTGAAATCCATGTTCGTTGAGAACAGTACACTGCCAGGAATTAAAACAATAAATTATGAATGTAACGTAACATATATACAAAACAAATAATTCAAAATTGTCCATCAGCTATTGATTATACTGTATGCAAAAATATATTATATAAAAATAAAAACGCGAAATTTCGAAGAATTGTAATGAACCACCAAGCTCTAATAGAAATCAACCACTTGGAAGAAGCTTAAAATGATTTTGTAAATAATATTTATTATACTTGTTCCTAACCTCACTGCAATGGAGAATTTTCTCAACACCATTTATTTGTATAAATATGTAAATTTAAGATGGCCAATTTTCAAACTACAGTTAAAATTAAAAATTAAATGTAAGATTTAAATATATTGTTGCATAACTATTTCATCTTAAACTATGATTATTTTGTTTTATTAAATCGATTTATGTTTAATGAAATTGTAGAATATGGTAATGGGCATTATGTGAGTCACATTCAACATTCAAATGGACAATGGGAAACGCACAACGATTTGACAAAAAAAATTCTAAATTCTAATTCCCCACAAAAATAAAAATTTTCTATTAATTTAATTGTTTATACTAAATGACAACTGCTAGCTAAATTTAAATTTTCGCAACA